GAAGGTCTGGGTGCAGTCGGGCAGAGTGGAGAAGCTGCAGGAGAAGAAGTTGTTGTCTAGCTTATACTAGCGGATGGACGGGGGAATGGGTTGCAGCAAACAGCCGCCTAGCTGGTTGTTGCGCAAGTTGCTGCAACGGGGGGAGGGGGGGAAAGGGGGGGGGGGGGGGGGGGGGGGGGGGGGGGTAGGACGAAAGAGGGTGAATGAAAGGAGGAGAGAAGACAATGAGAAAAGACAGAAGTTGTGAGAAACCAACAAGTGAAAAGCTGATAAATAGACGTGAAGTGCTACTTGGCAACGTGCTCCATCTACCACATCATCAAATCATCACAATAAGTTGGACTTCTGCAATCGCTTGAGCAACCCGACCAAACCGAGCGAACTAATCAGACGATGGAGCAACTGATTTGCACCAAACCCGCAAAAATGGGAAGACTTGATTGAGTGCGCTTACAAAAAACGCACCATCGTCAACTGCTAGAAATAGGCTATCAACATTTTGTGTACTACATTCTATTTCTTGTAGGTTATTTGTAGGTTGGGTATAGATTGTAATCCCAAACCTATCTGGTTGGGATTCCCTCGTAATCCAACAAATCTGCCAACTCACCATTGGAGATTTGCTAGGATTCCCATCCCATCGTTCCCTCACTTTGCTCAACCCAACCTTGTTTGAACTAAAGGCCTAGTGCCTTCTCTACTTATCAATCAATTCAGCTCCAACTCTATCATCAACTACTAATTACTTGCCGATACACCTTATTTATTGGATAGACCTGGTGCTACTCTCTTCGACACCAGTTAACAACCCAATACCTCGTTTCAGCAGTTTGTCAAATTGTCACTGGGTTGCAAGCTACTCGCAATGTATTTTATTCATGACAATTGCACGTACATACTGCGCGTATATACTGGAGGATATGTTGTGTCTCCTTCGGACATTGCGCTTCCCAACTTTACCCAATCTCGCGTTTTGAGCCTAGGCCGCTTTCCCCTATAACATTGTTGATTTAAGACAATTTCTGTTATCACTTGCGTCCCCACAAAGAGAGATGGTTAGGTAGCAACAAACATTGGTTGGTGGATGCAAACAGATGAGAAGAGACCAGTAAGCACTGCAACGCACAACTCTTTGGACAAAAGAGGCGCACAGTACGAGTACTTACAGCACAGAGAGATACGTGAGGTCGGATATTTTATCGGGGATGGTCCTATCAAGGTAGTTGGAGCTAAGATCACTGAATTAGGAAGGGAAATACAGATGTCAAGGTTTCATTGCGAGGCAAGCTTGACATAGGAGTCGAATCACAAAACGAGGGGGATTAGCACAAGGATGCGCACCAACAACCCTTAGGACAGACATACATGGTGCTCAGAACTTACAGAAGATGAAGAAACGTGCGTGTGAATAATTCTTCGAGGATGGTTCCATCAAGGTAGTTGGAGCTAAGGTCAATGCATTGGGAAGTGCGTGCAGATGGTGAGCTTTGATGGGCAGACAAGTTTGAGGAGAAGACTGTATGTGGGTGCGTACATACATGTGAATTGGGCACTGGTGGAAGCAAGCAGATGAGGCTCAGCTCAGGAGACAAGTGTCATGCTACTCTTGCACGGTGGCTTCCAGCAGGAGCAGCACAGCAGCTGGAAGGTACGACAGTGGGCTGCATGGTTATATACTAAAACGTATTTCAAGGAGCTGGAAGAATGACGACCCTTAGAACAGGTGCGGTGAGAATAACAACTTACAGCACTCCGAGTTGCTGGAGGGTGGTTATCTCTTGGGGGATGGTTCCGGTGAGCTGGTTGGAGGTGATATCACTGCATTGGGAAGTACAGATTGCATGTGCTGATTGGTGAGACCTTAAGTGAGGAGTTAACTCTATGTGCGTGCATTCAACTTGTCAGTGAGTGGAAGCAATCAGACGAGGTATATTAACCTTTTTCTTACATCGAATAGATATACGTCATTTGTACAACCTTCTGAAGCGAGTCCCCGTCAAGGTAGTTGGAGCGAAGGTTACTGCCGCGGGGAGTACAGAAGTCAGGCATGCAAGTTGGTGGGTGGGGTGCACCGTGCACGCAATCATATGCGGCTTAGAAAAAGGAGCATGAGCATGAGCATGCAAAGATCTTGGACATAGGAGGCACACACACATTACTTACAGTTCAAGGAGTCTCGTGAACTCAGAGACTTCATTCGGAATTGTTCCATTGAGGTAGTTGTAGCTAAGATCACTGTTTTGGAAAGTACATAATAGAAGGCATGCGCTGATTGGTTGGTAGAAAGGGTGTACATGCTGGAGAGAGATACACAGGAGCATGTTTGACTTTGATGGCCGCGTGTGATGTCGGAGGAGGAAGGCAGGCAGACTATTACAGTGGGTAGGTAAAGCACTTAGAAACGTGGTTGGGACACACGTTGCTCATGTGCTTAGAGATGAGGGAGAAAAGCTGGTAGAGCGAGAAGGGGGGTGAAAAGCAAAGAGGGCGACATGTTGATGGGAAGGTGCAGTGCAGCAGAGGGGAAAGACGAAGAGCAAGCACAAGGTACGACACGACCATGATGTGCAGGGGAGACCAAAGAGTAGGTAAAGAGCAACTGGAGGATGAAACAGAAAGTGCCACAAAAGGTGAGGATTAGGAGGAGAAAAGTGGGCAGCAAGTAGGCCAGGACGTGCATTTCCTCTCAGTGGGATTCATGATGTGCTGACATGTACACGATGTTCACATGATGATGTGTTGACGTGATGATGTGTTCACATGTACAGGATGTTGACTTGGTGATGGAACTTACTGCACGTTATCATAGAAGAATTCGGGAGGAATCGTCCCACTGAACCGGTTGCCCCTCAACGACCTGGACTCACTCCATCATCATCATCATCATCATCATCATCATCATCATCATCATCATCATCATCATCATCATCATCATCATCATCATCATCATCATCTTCATCATCATCATCATCATCATCATCATCATCATCATCATCATCATCATCCGCCCCTCACTCCTCCACGCACGTGCGAGTGCACGTGCGCACCCGTACACACCCCCACTCCACCCACACACAAACACGCACACTCACACGCACACTCAAACTCACACTCACCAACACACACATACACACACACACACGCACACACACACACACACTCCCACACACACACATACACACAAAGACGCACAGAGACACACACACCTACCCCCCCCCCCCCCCACACACACACACACACATAAACTCAAACAGACAGGGACAGACAAAGAAGACACAAACAGGCAATAACAAACCAGAATGAATGCATGCAACAGTGGATAGGACGTTCAAGAGGGGCTCAGGAAGAACAACAAGGGTAACACATGATACAACGTTTAAGAGGGATTCCAATCTAGCTTCGTAAGCGTTTGAGTTCATTATAGCCTCATAAAAAACATGTCACTCCAGTAGAACAACACAGCAGAGTTTTGAGATCTTCATAGGCAAGGATATTTAAATCCTTGGAAAGGACAAGGGAAAGCAAGAAAGGTAATGACATGACAGACATGGTATTAAGAGGATATCTGAAGACGGTAGGTAGACAACCTTCCAACCGATTATTAGCCAGGTTCCTGCACACGGACAATTGAAAGCAAACAGAGAAGCACCGCGGAGGAGAGAGGGGAGGTGGATGGGTATCAGCTGCATGGTCACTCACTGGACTGGTCCTCATTGGGATGCCAGGAAAGAGGTCATACAACAGCACAAGTATAGTGACTGATTGGTTGGAATAGCGAAGGTAGGTTTGTTGTGTGTATTTTCGCACCATGCTCACAAAGGGAGGGAGGGAGGGAGGGAGGGAGGGAGGGAGGGAGGGAGGGAGGGAGGGAGGGAGGGAGGGGGGGAGGAAGGGAGGGGGGGAGGGAGGGAGGGAGGGAGGGAGGGGGGGGAGGGAGGGAGGGAGGGAGGGAGGGGGGGAGGGAGGGAGGGAGGGAGGGAGGGAGGGGGGGAGGGAGGCTACACACCACGATCAACGTTCACACTAAGCTTGATAAATTCCATTCCAGCAAGCCAAAAATCAACAATGCCAGCTGGGTGGGAAACGTATGAGGAGGAGTGGCTTACAGATTGGTGAGGTAGAATAGTGAAGTGAATGACGCTGGAAGACTTCCCTCCAGCTGGTTGCCCATCAGATTGCTATATTATGGAACAAAGGCAAGAACAATGGATACATGGATGGGTTGATGTGGATACAGACGAGCGTTAGACGAGGTCAGGGGTTGATTTGAGAGAATAATTGACTATATAGGAAGACCTTGTGGTCGCTGTGCAAACTGATTGGCAACGGTAGAGTAGGGATGTGCGTGGGGTCAAGCCGAGCTGTGTCAGGACAAGAGCAGAGCTCAGAGTTGTTTGAAAAGAGCCAAACCAGCCTTGAGTTACACTCGTGACTTGATTAAGTGCGAGGCAGGAACAGGCCCGAGCAGCAGGTTTATTTCAAGCTTGACTTCTGCGCGGATCTGCATCTCGCCTTGCTACCGAATCCGTGTTAATTTGATGCCTTTTTTGGATAAACCATGACGTTGATGGGCGTGCCAGTGAGCAAAGCGATGAGACACCTTGTGAGATGAGACGCCTCGTGCAACTCATTGCTTGCTGCAAATAAAGCTACCACTATCACCACTGGACTTCCTTTAGTCTAATTGCACCGCAGTCCACTTGTCTGCCTGACAAGTCCTGCATCAAACGTGGACAGTGAGCTGTGGGGTGGGGAGAGCATGCAGAGTGCGGACATGGAAGGAAGGGGTTGGGAGGGGATCATGGGAGGTGACTCACATTGTAACCAGCTGTGTAGGCATGTCTGGAATCGAGCCTGACAGCCGATTGTAACTCAGGTCACTGTGCACATTCCAGAACAGGACAAACATAAATTCCGGGGCGCTTGTATGTCATGACAGCACCACCAGCATCAGCACCACCAGCACCAGCAGCAGCAGCAGCAGCAGCAGCAGTTGTGCTGTGCGTGGCATGTGTATGACAGTGACAGTGTGCAAGCATGTTCACATCACACGTGGAGGCACCTACATGCAAGAACAGATAGCACAGCACATCGTAGCCTTCTCACATATAATTGATGTAATTCAATTCAGTGATTTGGGACGGAATGGATCCTGATAGTTGGTTGTGGTGCAATCGACTGAGCACAGCACAGCACAGCACAGCACCGCACAGCACAGCACCGCACAGCACAGCAAATTACAGCACAGCAAAGCACAGCACAGCACATCACCACACAGAATTCCACGAGATCAGTGGCATGGGGATGGGATTGGGATTAGGCGTACACAACTTGGTGCATGTGCTAGCACACAAGCAAGTGCGAGGGGGCCTAATCTGCTAGGTACATGAGTGCTTTTTGGGTGATTAGCCCATGGAAAATAAATTGCCTTGTAGCTAAGTGACCACCAACGCATCTAACCCCAAGATCTAGATGCGAGCACATAAAAGCTAAGCGCTCTCGGTTGGCTCGGACAAACCCTAACGCTTGTCTGGACAGTCAAACTAAATCTTGGGCAGCCCCAAACATGTAGGTTCTGGAGTTTCACTAAAGAGGAAGTGAGAATCTTTAGTAGCAAGAAATGCAAAAAAGAACTAGAACCATCGCAAATCACAGATCGGGAAAATCGTTGGTGTGGGTTGGTGAACTTTGGCTTCATGGTTAGTAAGGGCGTGAAGTGTAGTTTGTGTTTGGGGGTCAATTTGACATCCCTTAAAGGTTGCGCGTCACGATCGTAAGGTTGAGCAATCAAATATTATTTCTTTGAGAAATTCTATTCGAGCTACCCAAGGGAGAAATCCATGAATTTCTCTTTAAACGATACTTCAAAGTCCTCGGCCTAAATTGCAGGTTAAGTGGGTCAAGTATTTAAGAATTGGTGTTGAAGAATGTGGAAACATCCTTCCGTCAACCTCTTCAAACATGAACAACTTGGGCTGTGGGCTTTAACCTTTTGCATTCAAATGCGAAACTCTTGGCCCTTAGCGTTTCGCATGTCACTTTGCATGTGTTTAGACACGCATGCACGTGTGCTCACTCATGCAAGTAAGAAAGCAGTGCTCTCACTAATCATCTAGCCTCGCCATCACGCTGATCAGCCGAGAGGAAATGGGCCCTGGGAGCTTGTTGTCGTTCAAAGAACTGAGAAAGACAAGCATCCCACAAAAGAACCAAGGGGAAAGGTCGAGCTAAGAGGAAGAGAGAGATGCAGAGGGAGAGGGGAGTAGCGACTGCCTTGGCATTCGTAGTTAAAGGCTCAAAGGTCCATAGTCCAGTACACAGCAGGAAAAAGCAGGAGGATAAGTGGTGTGTGTGTGTGTGTGTGTGTGTGTGTGTGTGTGTGTGTGTGTTTCCTTTTCCCTCCCCATGCCTAGCACTAACTAAGCTCTGTTCTGAAAGAAATTCAGGAGAATGGTGGCATTACCAATTCTGTGAGACGTGTCAGAAATCAACGACAATTGCACATGAGAAGAAACATTTCAGCAAGAGGTCAAGAATAAAAAATGGGTGGTAACTAATCCAAACAGCCAACGGGTGGCACGCATGCACGGATCGCAGTCCAAGCAGCCAACTGACCCGCCAAGAAAGCAAGCAGGGAAGCATGCAACCGACCAGTGTAGTCCCCATTACAGCAGGAGAAAGCAGGACAGGACGACTAGAAGTGTTTGCTTGTAGTCCCCCCCCCTCTCCCCCTCCTTCCCAATCCCCCTCCTTCCCAGTCCCCCTCCTTCCCAATCCCCAACCCGAACTCTGGTCTTAACGACGTTCACGTGAGAATTTTATTCCAGAAAAACTAGGCCCGCCAGCGCTCACAGCCAGTGGAGGTTGAACATGTTGCTGACAGCATCAGGAATTGATCCATTGATGGCATTGTTGCCCAAGGCCCTGTCCAGGGACGCACAGAGCAATTATTCCACCGTTCAGCAGCCAGATATTCCACCAAAGAAGCAAGCAAGCAAGCAAGCAACAATCACACTTTCT